CGGTCACGTGGCCCGACCCAGCCCGGTCCCCCCGCGGCGCGTCCGACCCCGCCCTCCCGCGTCCTCCGCTTGACCCCGAAGCGCGAGGCCCCGCGGGGGCAGCGGGATCCCGGGGCGCAGGTAGAGCCACGCCAGCCCGGGCCCGGGGCCGCGCATCCTAGGCCCAGGGCCCCCACCCGGGCGGGTCACCGGGCTCCAGGCGCCGCGCAGTGGTTGGCGAGTGAGGAAACGGTGGGCCAAGAGCTCCCTCCATTCACTGCGCTTTCACCCTAAAGGGTCTGAGTGACAGCATTTTAGAGTCCCTTTTGGAAACCCCCAATTTTGTGAGAATTGTTTAGTTCTCTTTTTGTGTAGCTGAGGATGACCTTGAATTCCTGCTCTTCCTCCGTCCCTCTAGTAGTGGGGCTCTGGGCATGTACCACCCCGCTGGTCTTAGACCTTTTCTCACTAAAATGAGAATAAACACTGTGTTATCTGAGTGGATTGAAGTATTAAGCAAAGGTGAAAAACAACGTAAGTCTAGGTGTGATGCACCAGCCCTGTAATCCTGTTAGGGGAGAGGGGACAGATAGAAGGCCATACTGTAATGTTCAGCAGCATGAGGCAATCCCCCAAGTTTTTAGGGATCTAACCCAGAGGGCTTCAACGCTGAGAATTTCAGGACTAGTGGGTTTATGATGAAGTAAAGTTGGACATTTTACTAAAGATTGTTGACAGGCATGCATGCCATCACACCCAGCTACTAAGGCTGTTTTAATGTGGGCTTAAGCATGATGTTTGGTGGCTCACCAGTTACATCTGAAAAGGTTGCCAACAACCTTTTTCCCTTTCAAAAAAATTTAAACTTGACTGGCGACAGATGGCTCTGCAGTTGAGAGCACTGGCTGCTCTTGTAGAGAACTCGTGTTCGGTTCCCAGCACCCATGTGATAGCTAACCATCCTTAACTCTGGGTCCAGGGGATCTGACACCCTCTTCTGACTTCCGTGGGCTTACAATCGGATGCACTTACACACATACAGGCAATACATTCTTACACACAAAATAAAAATAATAAGCCTGGCATGGTGGGGCATGCTTTTAATCCCAGCACTGGGGGAGACAGAGGCAAGTGGATCTGTAAGTTCCAGGCCAGCTGGGGCTACAGGGAGACCCTGTCTCAGAAAGACCAATAAATAAATAAATAAATAAAAATAAAATATTAAAGACATTTTAAAGTTGGGGGCCGGAGTGATGACTTCAGTGGTTAAGAGCACTGTCTGCTCTTACAGAGGACCCAGGTTCAGATCCTAACACCCACATGGTGGCTAACAACTATCCCAAACTCCAGTTCCAGGGGATATGATTCTCTCTTCTGTCCTCCGAAGGCATTGCAAGAACACAGGTGTACTTACTAGCACAACAGTCATACACATAAAATAAAAATAAATTTAAAAATTGTTACATTTCTCTCTCCCTCTCCCTCTCTCCCTCTCTCTCCCCCTGTCCCCCTCTCCCCCCCTCCCCCCCCTCTCCCTCCCCCCACCTCATCAGAGGATGACTTTCTCCAGAGTCTGGTTCTCTCCACCATGTGGTCCAAGGGATCCAACTCACATTCTCAGGCTGGACGCAACACGTTTATCCACTGAGAGCCATCTTGTAGGGGCCTCTGTTTCTCTATCTCTCTGTTTCTCTTTGTTTTTTGTATTTGAGACAGGCTCTCACTATGTAGCTCTGGCTGGCCTGGAACTTGCTCTGTAGACCAGGCAGGCCTCAAACTCAGAGCTCTGTCTGCCTCTGCCTCTGGAGTGCTGGGATTAAAAGCATGCACCACCACACCAGGCTTCACTTTTGATAAATGATATAAATGTGATGGCTCTGGAAATGCCTCTGTCAGAGTTATAATCTAATAAGGTAAAACCAGAAGCCCCTAGGATTTTGCAAGGGCTTTAGGACACATCCTTTTGTCTGTTCCCTATAAATGGGGTCTGGCAAGATTCCTAGAAAAATGTTTACAGTTGGGGTGGGAGAAAAACTAAGCATTTGGTAATTGTGCACTCCACAGTGGGAGAGTAGAAGTCAGAGGACAACTTGCAGAGTCAGCTCTCTACCATGTGAATCCTGGTGATTGAACTCAGGTGACCAAGCTCTGTGACAAGCACCTTTACCCATTGAATCACCCTGCTAACACTTTCCCTGCCTTTCTACCCTGCCTCAATCTTGAGGAGGCTGAAGCAGGAGGATTGCCTCTAGTTTGAGGCCATTTGGGGCTACTGAGTGAGATCCTGTCTCAAAAAAAAAAATGTGGGACCAGGGAGATGGCAGAGTTGCTGTGTGAAAAGCCAGATGCTCTATCAGTACTCGTATAGTGAGCTTGGAGGCAGAGCTAGGAAAATTGGCAGAAAACTCCAGAATGAAGAGAGCCTTAGCAGAAACAGTGAAAGTCCCTGCCTCGAAATAAATGGCAGGAGAGAACACACCCTTGAAAAGTTGTCTCATCTTGGGACTGGAGAGATGGCTCAGCAGTTAAGAGTACTGGCTGCTCTTTCAGAGGGCCAGGGTTCAGTTCCCAGCACCCACATGGCTAAGAACTGTCTAACTCCAGTTTCAGGGGATCCGACGCCCTCTTCTGACCTCTGTAGGCATTGCAAGACACTGGTGCACTTACATGTAGGCAATACACTCATACACATAAAATAGAAATAATAAAAATGTTTAAACAGAAGGGTTGTCACTGGGTGTGGTGGCACACTCCTTTAATCCCAGCACTTGGGAGGCAGAGGCAGGTGGATCTCTGTGAGTTCAAGGCCAGCCTGGTCTACATAGTGAGTTCCAGGACAGCTGGGGACAGCCTGGTCTATATTGGGACTACAGGGAGACCCTGTCTCAAAAAGACAAAACAACAACAACAACAACAAAACAAACCACCCACAAACTTAAATCCAAACCAAACAGAAACAGCCCTCAAACCAGCAAACAAAAAAGAGGGCAAGAAGAGAGCTCCTGAAGGCCTTTCCACATGACCTTATGAGGGGGTTATGAGCAGCTCAGGACCAGTGGCTGCATCCTCTCTACCTGTGAGTTATAACCAGAACTTGGCACTGCTTGGTAAAGGGTCAACATCTTCAGTGATTGCTGAATAAATTTTGGCACCTGTGTAGTGAAGGGATGTGAGTGTGAGATGCCACATGTGTCAGTATCTTGTTCCTGCCAAAACAACTTATTACAATCTTAGGTGCTTAAAACAACTCAGGTTAATTTTCTTACAGTTCCGGAGGTCAGAAGTGAGAAATGAGTCTTACTAGGCTGTAGTTGGGGTGTCAGCAAGGCCTCACTGCTTTGGGAGACTGTAGGGAAAGCATCTTTCTCTGCTGTTTCCATCTTCTAGAGGCCACGTGCACTGCTTGGTTTGTGACTCCAGCCAACAGTTGGATCACTCTGACTTTTGCCTGCTTCAGTCAACAGGTCTTTCTTTTCCTCCTGCGTACTTCTTTTCTATACAAAGACCCTTAAAATTACTTTGGACCCATGCCTGGTAGTTTAGTCAAGAGCCACAACTTAGTCACTCCGTAAAGTCCCTTTGGCTTTGTAAGGAAATTTATTCAGGGGTTCCAGGATTAGGAAAGAAATATCCTTGGAGAGCCAGTATTCTGTTTATCACACTCTACCTGTTCTCTTGAGCCATTTTAAGCCCAGGCAAACAATGAACTGGTGGGAAACATGTGAACAGTAGACTTTGCCTCTAAACTTCAATTGTCCATTCACTGGACCATTTGTGGATGGCAACAGTGAACAACTATTAGGAACTGAGCTGACTCACTTTTGAAAGCATCTCCCCTCTGCCACTGACAGTGATGCACTCAGTTCACTGTCTCTATTGCTCTAAGACTTAGTTTCCTCCTGAGAAAAACAGGTCTCTCAGCATCATGGGCAGGATCAAGAGAGGTAAGTATGTACAGGTCCTTCCTTTGAAGTAATAGGAAATGTGGGGCTATTTTACTACATGATTTAAAAACATAGATGTTAATTTAATTTTCAGTGAGTACTAAAATTGTACATATTTTTAAAATTATTTTTATTTTTATTTTATGTGCACGAATGTCTTGCCTACATGTATGTGCACCATGTCATGCAAAGCCTGAGGAGGCTAGAAGAGGGCATCAGATCTCCTGGAGCTGGAGTTATAGATGGTTGTTAGCTGCCATATGGGGTGCTGGGAATTGAACCTGGTCCTTTGCAAGAGCAGCCAGAGCTCCTAACCACTGAGCCATCTCTCCAGCACTCTAATTGTACATATTTGTGGAAAATAGTATGTTTTTTGGAGGGGGGGTCTTTTTGGTCTTTTTGAGACAGGGTCTCCCTGTACCCCCAGCTGGCTTGGAGCTAACTATGGAGACCAGGCTGGCCTTGAGTTCACAGAGATGTGCCAGCCTCTGCTTCCTGACTGAAAATAGTATGGTTTTTAAAGCTTTATTACGTATACATCTGAAGGGGTTTTTGTTTGACTTTTTACAGATTTATTTATATTTTATGTCTTATGAGCATTTGGCCTGTGTGTATGTAAGTGCACCAATTGTTTGCAGTGCGCACAGAGCCTAGAATAGAGTTGGATCCTGTGGAACTGGTTGTTGTCAGCCACCATGTGGGTGATGGAAACAGAACCCAGGTCCTCTGCAAGAGCAACAAGTGCTCTTAACTGCTGAGCCATCTCTCCAGCCCTTTGGCTTTTTGAGACAAGAGTCTTGCTGTGAAGTTTACCCAGGCTGGTCTTAAACATGAGGCAGTCCTTCTGTCTCAGTTAGGATTGCAAGCATATCCCACC